ACAGCATTTGGAGACCAGTAGCATCTGAGGGCATCCAATGGAAAAGCTTTGGTCCCTGTAGGAGTGGAACATAGGGTCACCATAAATTCCATAACACAAGGTTTCCAGCTGGCCTTCTGGAGGAGACTGTCATGTCCGCTGTACCTTGCTCTTTGTGCTGTTAATAGCATGGGTTAATAGTGGTACAGGCTGTGATTATGTCCTGCATCACCTCACCCTGAAAAAGTTCAGAACACCTCATTGTCCCTGAGAGACAGAGATGCATAGGATAGAGTCTAGTATAGTTATCGTGTGAAACAGCATGCAGACAAATAGCCTGGCCCTTCAGGTAGCCACCAGTATGGCCCATGAGCAGAGGGGAACACACATGACCAAGGGGAGGGCGCAGTGGACAGAGGTGTGGCCATAGGGATTGAGTAGTTTCTACAGCCACTTACTGTGGGGAGGGTTTTCTGGGACCTCCTTAGAGCCTGTGCTTTGCAGCCTGTCCCCTTAAGAGGCTTCTCCCCAGCAGACATCATTGTTAATGTTTTCTTTCCCTTTAATCTTGGTGTGAATTTTAGTGTTGTATGAAACAAGGTCCTTGGGTCAGGCATAATGCTGACAACGTCTCTGCAAGCTTCATGCCCACCTGTAGCTCTGACAGTGCACCTCTGCCCAGCTGTAACAGTCCTCATCCCTCACACAGCCATTGATTGCTAGTTTACCATGATCGTTGTACAATGCAACCCTGACCTACAGCACCTGCAGTCCACTCCAGTCATTCCAAGTAACAGAAAAAGTGCTGGTTTGTGTCAGACTATTGAGTGATTTTTTTCAGTCCACCTATGAAACAATTCTCTCCCTTGCATCCAAATGTATTAAATATAATCTGTATTTACACAAAGGCTACCAGACCCACACTGCTCAGCTGATTGCCTTAGCATCTAGGCTAGAAATGGGCAGTAATCAACTTTCCTGTGTCATGAGAATTTTTCCAGATTTTTGTCCTGATTGATTAGTACTGCTAATTGATTTGAAAAAGTATCAGATCAAACAGTACATTTTGTTTTGATGTCAGCCTTTATTTTATATATATATATATATATATGCATGCTTCTTTAAAAGTGTGAAATTTATTTAAACTGAAACCTGAAACTTTTTGTTTGGAAAATATTTGTTTCAATCATTTCTAACAATTGCAAATTTAAGAAAAAGAATGTGAAATGGGCCTTGCCCTAAAAATAGCTTAATAGATTCATAGATGTTAGGGTCAGACGGAACCTCAGTAGGTCATCAAGTCCGACCCTCTGCCCTGGGCAGGAAAGAGCTCCGGGTTCAGATGACCCCAGCTAGATGCTTGTCCAGTCTCCTCTTGAAGACCCCCCAAGGTAGGAGAGCACCACCTCCCTGGGAAACCCATTCCAGATTCTGGCCACCCTTACTGTAAAGAAGTTCTTTCTAATGTTCAACCTAAATCTGCACTCTGTCAGTTTGTGGCCATTGTTCCTAGTTACTCCAGGGGGTGCCCTAGTAAATAGAGCATCTCCTATTCCCTGCTGCCCACCCCTGATGAATTTATAGGCAGCCACAAGATCACCTCTAGCCTTCTTTTGTGAAGGCTGAAGAGATCTAGGTCCCTCAGCCTCTCCTTGTAGGGCCTTGCCTCCAGGCCTCTGACCATACGAGTGGCCTCCTCTGAATCCTCTCAAGATTCTCTGCATCCCTCTTGAAGTGCAGCACCCAAAACTGAACGCAGTACTCCAACTGTGGCCTGACCAGTGCCGCATAGAGGGGAAGCATCACCTCCCTTGACATGTTCATCATGCATCTGCTAATGCATGATAAAGTGAGGTTAGCCTTGTTGATCGCTTTGTCATATTGACAACTCACATTCATCTTGGAGTCAACTATGACTTCAAGATCCCTTTCTGCTGCTGTGTTGCTGAGAAGGTCGTCCCACAGCCTGTAAGTGTGTTGGTGGTTCTTTTGGCCCAGGTGTAGCACTTTGCACTTGTCTTTGTTGAACTGTATCATACTTCATTCTGCCCATTTTCCAACCTGTCCAGATCTGCCTGGATCCATTCCCTACCCTCTGGTATGTTAAATTTGCCCCATAATTTGGTATCATCTACAAACTTGGACAGGGTGCTCTCCCCACCCTCATCCAAGTCACTGATGAAGACACTGAATAGCACCAGACCAAGAACTGAGCCTTGCGGAACTCCACTGCCCACATCTTTCCAGGTCGATATCAACCCATTCACCACCACTCTCTGGGTGCGACCCCTAAGCCAATATGCCATCCACCTGACCATGTAACCATCTACATCACAGCCTGTTAGTTTATTTTATGAGAACAAAAATGAGATACTGTATCAAAGGCCTTCTTAAAGTCTAGGTAGACGGCATCTACCTCGACTCCTGCATCTAAGCATTTTGTGACCTGCTCATAAAAAGAAACAGGGGGTTAGTCAGGCAGGATCTACCTGTAATGAATCCATGCTGATTTCCTTTTAGCATTATTTCCCCTGCTGGGCTCCCCCAAATGTGATCCTTAATGATTTTTTCCAGAGTTTTCCCAAGGATAGAGGTGAGATTAACTGGCCTATAGTTTCCTGGTTCCTCCCTCCCTCCCTTCTTGACAATAGGGACCACATTGGCCCTTTTCCAGTCCTCTGGGACCTGACCAGGGCACCATGAGTGCTCGAACACTTGAGATATGCCAATGGCTCTGCTATGACACTGGCCAATTCCTTTAGCAGCTTTGGATGAATTTCATCCGGGCCTGCTGATTTGAACACATCCAGCCCCTCCTAGTGCCCCTTCACTAAGTCTGCGCTAACAGTTGGTGGGCTGGTGTCCCTCCTGTGTCTATCTATGCTCCAGTTGGAAGATTTGTCTTGGTCTGTGTCTAGGAATACAGATGCAAAGAACTCTCCAGCCTTAGCTGGAGTGGGATCGTATATCTCCTGTGTTAGGTGGAGGTCCTGTAGGCAGGTTAAGAACCTACATGAGTGGTTAGATTTGGCTGATTGTACCTCCCAGCAGACGTCAGTGTAGTTTAGGTCTCTTGGAGTTCCATTTTTGGGATGGAGCATTTGGCTGCCCTGCCCTTTTGCATAATATCCTGAGCTGAATGTACAAAAGCATGGTGTGCAATGAGTTAAAAACAGGAGGAAAGACTTGCATTTTGCACTACTGCACTCCCAGGGCTGTCGTGAATCTGGATGGGTCTGACTGGTTCTGGTCACCATCCCCATGCCACTTATCAGCAGAAATGTTAAGGGGCCAATCTCTTATCCGAGCTGCCACCTCACTCGATCAATTTCATGAGTTAATGAATATTGGGAGAGGGCTTAATTACATCCGATTGGATGGAAATCAGTTGGCACTGGCGTCCCTATCAATTAGCTTGCTCTTGGGGGGCTGCAATGAGGATTGTTAATTAAATGTGATTGCACCAGCTGTGTCCAGGGTTTCCCAAGTTACTGAAATGAGGCTGCATTGGGGAAATGTGAAATGGATTTGTGCTGAAAGCCAGGATGTTTTAGACCTTATCTGCACTAAATCGTTTTGTCTGTGGAACTCAGGTTGTGCTGACAGAACTGTGACGTGTCCCCGTTCTAAGTCCTGGGAGCGTGAGCTTTTACCATCTTTCCTTTGGCCCTGCACCGTTCCATACAGCTCACATATAAACGGTAGATTGCATACATCCGATTCCTCGATGATGTGCAGCAGGAATTATGGAAAAATGCTCTGCCCTGTATTTTTACAGAAGGGCATGACTGAATGAGCAATATAGCCCCTTTTGATATTTAAAAAGTATGTAGAGTAATCCAAAACTTTCACGGAGATCCATTCCAACGGGGACAGATTTTCCTAAGGAGCTTAGTTTATTTGCTTGTTAACCCTGAGCACTTTGCAAAGTATGACCTCAGGAACCCTGCTTTCATTAGGAATTACAGTATCAGAACTCGAGGGGGGGTGCAGTTCTCTCATTAGGCCAGTGATAGGATTTTTCTCTAAAGAGAGTGTGGGGGAACATGTGATTTGTGAACACGAATAAAGATGACCGTGGGCAATTAAACAAGGGAAAAATCTGATGGTATAATTCTTATTAGTAAAGCAGCTTATTTAATTACACTGGCTGCAGGCAAAGATGACTCTTTTATAATAGGATGGCTACAAGGCACCCTAGGCAGAAGGCGTCGCTCTTTCATCAGAAAGCCATAATCCACCCATGGGCTGTTTGGATGCTTCATATCTGTAGTTTTACAAGTTAACTGTAGGAGTGCCCTGTGGTTCAGTGGTAGAATCCTTGTCTACCACACTGGAGACCTGGGTTTGATACTCAGACATTTACACAACTACAGTCATGGATTCTGTCTTCATGGCCTAAAGGAAGGATGGATGGTCTGGTCTGGGCAGGCATATGCATCAAAGGTCTGGGTGCCCCTCAGGCATACACCATGATCCAGGAGTTAACTGTAAGCACAGTCTCATGCTTTGAGGCCTATCCTTGTTACCTCTGGGGGATGTAGTTAGCTGTGTTAGTCTGAAGGCAGGGTAGATTTGCATCTTAAAGACTAACCAGAAGAGATATATACATCACAAGCTTTCATTAACTGAAGCTGTGGTGCAAATCTACCCTATCTTCTACCATCGGAGGCCAGGAGTGAAATTCCTTCTTGTCTACAGCAAAGGAAAAATGACTAAATGCTTTATAGTGGCATTTACATCTTTCTCTTGAAGCAGAAAGCATTGGTCACTGTTGGAGGCTGTGCGCTAGCCCAGGGTCTTGTCAGGTAAAGCAATCTCTGGGCCTCAGGAGTGGCCAAGGAAGAGGCTAAAAGTGCCTTAAGAGGCACATTATTACACAAGACAGAGAGCGCCCAGTACAATGGGGTCTTCATTTCATTTGTAGCAGCAAGTCATTACTGTAAAACAAAATTAGGTTAATGAATTGTTTCCCCTTTCTTTTCTCCCTCTCAGGGACAAACACATCTACTCTTGGCCATGTGGACCTTTCAACTCCAGTTATCTTCTCTCAGGCCTATGGGACAGTGACCATTTCAGCTATTTTCAGTGTAAGTGTCTAGCTGTGCTGTTCAACGTGCAGTTTGTTCTAGTTCCATTGTGGAAAGTTAGATTGTGTGGTTAGAAGAGCCTCCGTGAGCCATAGTGAGAAAGAGAACATGTTTTATCCACATATATCAGAAACAGAGGCCTGACTTGCCCAGAAGCTGCAAGAGCAGCCAGTGTTAACCAAAGAGCAAGAGAAACACACATGTTGGTAGGTGAATTGAGGCAAACATGCTCCAATTCCACAGGAAAAGTTGTATAGCACAATTAACATAGAGTGATGGATAGCTATACAAGGGTATCACAATTATTCACCATTGTAGGGAAGACCTACTGAATTTGTGCACTAAAAAAATAAAAAAACCTTTGTGCAAAGTGTTGTAGGTGGTAAATTGAAGAAGCTTGTGGCTCACCAGCCATAGTCTGAGAATCACTGTTGTACACGGGGCCCATATTTGGTACAATGTAGTGATTAGAGGTGATCACCACATGACCTGCGGCACAAGAACATATGAGACATGCCATTTACTGGGTCAGACCATCAGTCCGTCTTGCCCAGTATGCTGTGTCACGCAGTGGCAGAGGGGATGCTGAAAGAGGGAATGAACAGGGTATGACCAAGATTTTCCCACTTGCCACCTCCAGCATTTGTTTCTCTCCCACTTGCCACCTCCAGCATTTAAAGTCTAGGAAGTTTGGATTCAGAGGCTGTACCCCTAACTCTCATGTTCAGTAGCTACTGATGCCCCTTTCCTTCAAGAATTTGTCCTATCCCTTTTTGAAACTGGTTAAACACCATGACATCTGGCGGCACTGAGTTCCATACTTTAATAACGTGTTGTGTGAAAAAAAAAATCTTTTGTTAGTTCTAAACTTACTACCTATTAGTTTCATTTTATGACCCCTAGTTATGGTATTGTAAGAGGTAGTAAATAAAATTCCTATTTACTTTCTCTTTACTATTTCATATCTCGTAAGGTCCCCCCTCAACCATTTCTTCTAAACTGAATAGGCCTGGCCTTTTAGTCTCTCCTCATATGGAAGCCCCTCAATACCGCCAGTCATCCTTATTGCCCTTCTTTGTACCTTCTCTAATTCTTCTACATCCTTTTTTAGGTGTGGGGACAAAATTGGGAACAGTATTCAAGGTGTGGATGCACCATGTATTTATAATGGCATTGTTTTGTTGGCAATTCTCTTCTTAATAATCCCTAACATTTTGTTTTCCTTTTTGATGGCTGCTGAGCACTGAGCTGGTTTTTTAGCAAACTGTCCACAGCGATTTCCAGATCTCTTTTCTGTGTAGTAACAGCTAATATAGAGCCCATCATAACGTGTGTATAGTTTGGGTTATTTTGGCCCAAACTATACATACACTATCTCTATTTTGCATCACTTTTACATTTATCTATATTTAATTTCATCTGCCATTTAGTTCCCAATTCGCTCAATTGTGCAAGATTGTTCTGGAGTTCCTCATGAGGCAGTAGATGAAATGCGCAGAAGGATGGTCTTGTAGCTAAAATTAGTGAGGTGGGGTTTATTTCCTGGCTGCTACTGTGAGAACAGCACAGAAAATATTAGCACTGGCTGCCCTGAGGCTGTACAAAAATGTTAAAAATATAGAAGCTAAGTAATCCCAAACTATGCTGTGCCTTTTTCACACGAAACACGCAATTACTCTTAAGTGCCTGGGAGCCACAACCAGAAAATGTTGCTTCCCTGGGTATTTAATACCTTTTTGTAATACTTGGGGCTGAAAACTCCTACTGACAATTTGGAAAGGTGAGTTTTGCCCTCAGGATGGTGCCCAGGGCTCCTGTGGACTTTTGATAAAGCTATTCAGATACAGGGCAATGGAGAGCTTGGCTATAACTCTATGTAGTGATTCACTCCTTGCTCGATGATTTCCTTACAGCATTTGTTTCATCTTCCACAAATGTCCCGCTGTGTGCTCTTTCAAATCAAGAAAAGCAGAAGGAACAGGCCATGTGTTTTGTGAACAGAGCAGGGGCCTGGATGTCGGGAATCCTGAGCTGCATTTTTGGTTTGTTGCTGTTTCGCTGGTGTGTGACTTTAGACACGTTGCTGTCCCTCTCTGAGCTTCAGTTTCCCTGATCTGCGCAATCCTTCCCTGTTTCAGAGGGTGTTGTATAGCTTGACTAATCTGGTGCATGAAGCTGCCCTGAGGAAACAGCACTCCAGAAATGCGAAATACTGCCAGTTGCACTACTAAAGGCACTTTTTTGCAGGAGTAACTGAAATGCTTTTAAACAGTTAAGTCTTTTGTTTAAGAAAAATGTCTCAGTGGTCTGTTCAATAGTTGAAATAGGACCCAGCAGACATGCAGTGCTGCTTTTTGCTAGTGCATTAAGAACAGTTTGTACCAGGCTGCAGGTATGCAGTCAATAGACTGAGGCTACTTACACATCCTCTTAAATGCATGGTTCCAGACTTTCAGTGATTCACCAAAATATGCACCCTAAAGTGCACTGGACTAAATCCTTGCCACAGCATGTGGCCTAGCTACTAGACAGGGCATTCACAGAGAGGGAGGTGAGGGGGATTCACACGAATCAGGAGGAGGAAACATCCTTTCCACAGAGCCATGAAGCAGCACATGCACAGCTTTTTTGTCATGCACCTTCATGATTTCAGTAGATCCTGCATCTACTATAGTCTCTTACTACTGCACATATTTCACAAGGCCTTTCCCATAAAGCTGTGCAAAGCTTCTGGTGGCAATTCAATTCGGAGGCGATTCGGCCCGATTCGGTGGCCGAATCTCTGAATCTGAATCGAATCAAGGGACCAATTTAAAGGTCTGAATTGATTCAAAGCTCTCCGAAACTTTGGCAAAGAGTCAGAGAGCTTTGATGATTCAGGCAGTCCCCGGTGGCTGCAGCAGGGAGCTGCAGCTGACTCTGAACTGGTAAGTAGGGGGCCAGGGGGGGAACCATGGGGGGCTGGGAGAGCAAGGGGGGGTTCATGGTAGAGCCCCCCATGTAGCATGAGGCAGCAGGGATCGCCCCCTGCCTGATCGCCCCCTCAGCACCCACTGAGTTGGGCCTTTTTTTTTTTCCAAAGTGCCGGGAGCTGGGGCAGCCATTGCCGGGCTGGGAGAGGGGCAGGGGATGGGCCTGGCTGATTTGGAGATTCAGCCGAATCAAATCAGGACAGTGATTCAAATCACCAAACTGAATCACTGTCCCCCAAATTGGCTGAAACTGAATCCGAAGCAAATACTAGCCACTTTGCGCAGGCCTACTTTCCCAGCCTTGTCTCTGCCCTCTTCACATCCCTGCATGCACTGAGATAAAGGGAGCTCCTGAGTAAGTATCTGTGCAGTGTATGTTGCCACCACAGACATTGGAAAGTATATTGCTGGGCAGCAGAACTGCAGGAAAGTGCCATGGGTTTTTTTTCCTTGCAAAAATTCTGGAGGACAAAAATGTTTCATGATTTGTACATGGACCCCTGGTCTCTGGTGCTCTGTGGCATGGTGTCCTTGCTAACCAATGCAGCAATGGCATCAAGTTAATGAAAGACCACCTCCAGAGGCCTCCAACTTCAAAAAGAGTTGTCAGTGAGTAACAAAAGAGTATGAGCTAATCTGCTTCTCCCATTTCTTGCAGGTCCAGCGCACCCTTCCTTGAACGTAAGTACTTCTTTGTTAACCTTTTTCCAGCTCCATTGCTAACTTCCTTTGTGGCAGTTTTAGTGGTGGGTGGCAACTACCTGCCACAGACATGTGGAAGGCTACCCCAGGAGAGAGCCCCAACAGAACTGCTGTTGCCTTGAAGTCAGTTATGCTACACACTATGAGGTAAACCTCAAGCGAAAAAAAGAGTTGTTCTTTGGAGACTAGAAGTACAAAAGCTCTGAGGCTAAGCCAGTCTGTCCCTTCAGACTTTACCCACTGGAGATCTGGGTTCAGATCTGGTGTCACATTCCCAGAGTTCATACTTGAAGCTCAGTTTGGAGGAAGCTCAGTTTGCCCTTGCTTCTGATCAGGGCTTCTTCGTGCAGCCCCACTTCAGATGTAGCCTCTGTTTCAGAGAGTCCTGCCTTTGGCATAGGCTGAAGCCATTCAGCTCACAATCCACAAGGGACCTGATTCTTGAGGATTAAGCTTTTATTTTCAGCTGGACACTTGCTGTCTCACAGCCTGGGTCAGTAAATTCTATGTGGTTTGGGTACTCCGTGTTAAGCAGGGGACCTTTGGGTTTGATGTGCTGAAGGGAGACTTATTCTTGTAGGCTGGCTTAGGAAGGGTGAGGGATATTTTAAGCTAGTTGGCTCATCCAAAAGAGCAGCAAACCGAATTGCTTCTCCACAGGAGGGAAGCTGATCAGGGAGTAAGACAGAAGAACTTGAAATCACGTAATTAATGGTGCTGCAGTTTTAGGGCTGGGCAAGTGATCCTTGGGAAGCTGCTTGGAAACTTGGATTAAATGTGCTTAGTCACATGGATTGTGAGATCAGACTGGTAATGGGTCCTGGGGTAGGTGCAGGACAAAAGGAACCCTTTGAAGTACCAGTCTGGGGAAGCGATGTGAGATGGCTTGATATCAGGGAGGGCTTGGGTCAGGGATGCTCTTGTTCTTCTGCTTAGTACAAGGAAGAAATTCAAGGTTAGAAGGCTGCTTCCCAAGCACATAAGCAGGGATATGTGGTGGTGAGTATGTGTCTGAGAGTCTGTCTCTCTGCAGGTGTTTTGCAGGGTATGATGTTGCTTTGAATTACAGGAGTTAATAGTACAAAAATGCAGATACAGGCATACCTCGGAGATATTGCGGGTTCGGTTCCAGACCACCGCAATAAAGCGAATATCGCAATAAACCGAGTCACACGAATTTTTTGGTTTCCCAGTGCATATAAAAGTTATGTTTACACTATACTGTAGTCTATTAAGTGTGCAATAGCATTATGTCTAAAAAAAAATGTACTTAATTAAAATATACTTTATTGCTAAAAAATGCTAACCATCATCTGAGCCTTCAGCGAGTCATAATCTTTTTGCTGGTGGAGGGTCTTGCCTCAATTTGTAAAAAACTCAATATCTGCGAAGCGCAATAAAGCGAAGCGCAATAAAATGAGGTATGCCTGTATAAGTAACCGAATCGCAGGTAGAACAGGGATTACCCACTGCAACTGCTCCCCTTTCCGTCTTGGTGGCTGGAAACTGCTTTTGTGATTGGGCCTGAAAGTAGGCTGTAGTCCCCATGGCTGACCTCAGAGAGAAGGAGGGTAGGCATCCAATATAAGATATGTCTGCAGTGCCAGCACTGTTGTCTAGGCATACAAGCTAGCTTTGAACTGGGAACTGTATTGCTAGCAGCGTAGCTGTGGTAGCATAGAGCTCAGTGCAGGCTGCAAACCTGAGCATTTACCCCTCTTCTTGGCCAGGTTTTGCAGCTCATGCTAATGCTGCTGTGGCTTGACTGCTACCTGTAGCTGAACTAGCTACTTTAAATTGGTGACTGGCAATGTAGACATACCCATGGCCCACTCTGGACATATCCAGTGCTCGTGCTTGATCTGGCACTGTGGAGCTGGCTCTGGAAGACAGTGATCCTTCACATGACACTCGTTTCAGATGCACTATTACCAGCCAGGACTCAGCTCAGTTTGCGTGATGCTTAGAAGTTTTGGATTCCAGGGGTTCCCACCTCTGTTTCATATCAAAACAATCCCAGAACTCTGTGAACATGTTGAAACTATCACACAACATGTCCTGGTATTCACCTTCAGTGACTGAGAGCTGGGCCATAGATCCCAAACCTAAGCAACTCTCTTAGCAAGTTTAGTTTGGGCTTTGCATTTGGAATAATATCTGAAATCAGCTTAGTTGCTTACAGCACAGCAGTAACCGAGACCAAAGTAAGATATGGGGTCTGCTGTCAACAGGTTTTTTTTTTGTCCTGAAGATTTGCATGTCCTTTTCCACAATGCCTCAGTCTGTGCTTTCCTTCTGTAGGTGTGCTCTTGGACTGACTTCATTCTCTTTCTACCACTTCCACTTAATGCACCCTACTCCCATTTAAAGTCAACAGCGGCTGCTCTTATGTAGCAGCAGCAGCAACAGCAACATCTGATTCTTTGGCTCTAATGCTGATTGTTGTTAGGTCCCTTGAGTTTAGTTCACTCCTCTCCTTGTCCTGCCTTTCAGAGTTTGATGGAGAATCGGTCGGATGACAGCAGGAACTGTTGTTATCACCGGCGGAATTCTAGCGACGGTGATCCTACTCTGTATTATTGTTGTGCTCTGTTATTGTAGACTACAGGTAAGTGGTTACATATGAGGTTCTTTACCTGTACAGTTTAGTACAGTATGAGTGAATTTAGGACCACGGTCAGGAATTGTTTTAAACCCTACTGCTATGGGACATAGGGGTGGTGTCATAATTAAACTGTCATATCTCTGTTTGGGTTATTAAAACTTGTGGTTCCCCTTGCACTACCTTGCACTGCTCAAACACTTCAGAGTGGCTGAACTACTTGCTGGTTGTACCTGGCTTGCAAAGAACTTGTGTGGCAGAAGGGATCTTCCACAGCTATAAAGCCTCCAAGCGGATTCTGGGACGGCCCTGTCTTCCCAGCGCAGAAGGCATGCTGACAGGGGGTCAGGGGAAGAAGTGAGTTGAGATGAGGACTCAGCTATGATACCTCAACTTTGCCACAGAGACTTTAAACTAGTAGTAAAAGCTAAGGCAGTCCTTTTGACTGCTCTATTTCACAATGAATCTTGCTGGTGCAGATAAGGCAACTGTAACCTGTTCTCTGATAACCCCATGCGAGTCCTTTAAGTTATTTTTCTTTCCCCATCTCTGTTCTAGGTTCATTCTATTCTTCACTCCACACTGGATTGCTTTCAATTTGTATTTTCTTTTCACCTTCTCCCTCTCCTTCTTTCTTTCACTCTCTGCCTTCCCCCCACCCATCTCTCTTAAGCAGAATCTAGTCCCACCAGAGCCACAGTTACAGAACCTCTAAGTGGTTGAGAGCCAGAAAATTAGAGAAAATAATCCTTACTAGTTAACTTAGCATTTCCATCCTCCCTTATCTACTTGGAGTCTGGGTACAAAGAGCCCACCCTACCCCAGCCTTTGCCATCTTTCCCATTTCTCTTTCTTCTCTTCATGCTGTTTTTTCCCCAATTATTCCCCCCACACACATACAAAAAGATATTTGCTTCAACTTTATGCTCTATGGGGAGTTGTTGCTGGGGGGGAAATCTAAAATAGAGGACAATTTAGTTATATGATATGCCCCTCCTACTTCCTGTGGTTACAGCCCTTAAAATTTTATTTGAATTGAGTGTCACACTTAAAGTTGAGAATTCCACAGCTTTGATGCATCTGAACAATGCAGCATGTCCTCGCTGAACACTTGTTGAGTAAACAGTTTATGAGTAAATTGGTTCATTACTTTGAACTGAAATTTAATTTTAAAATGTTAAGAAACGTAGCACCCATTGACAGTTGTGTCCTCAACAATCTTAACAACACAATGCTGCCTTCAGGCAAAACATTCCTTTGAAATGTCCATGGAGCTTCCACTGTTTTTGGTGAAAGTGAAGGTGTAGACCTTTGTAAGAACTTCCTGTAGCTTCCGCACCACTGAGAACAATTGGTGACGGGCCCTTTTCTCAAAATGGCCTCCAAGCTGTTTGCACGGTGTGACCTCAAATGACATAGAGCAATGGGAGATTGCACCGCTCTGGAAGGAGTGCAGTTGTGTGCGTGGAATTCCTTGTAGTCAAACACTCTTTGTCAGCCTCGGCTGCAAGGGAAACTTTCACGTGTGAAGAAACAGAGGTGGAAAATGAGGTGAATCCAAAAAGTGTCTTCAAATGGAGCCCTGTGTCCCAGGTGGTGAGGATGAGCAAATCTCTGTGGTGCCATGTTCACAAACGTATCTGGATGGAACAGTATCCCCTCACTAACCAAAGTCTTTTCTTTATGCATAGTATTATTGCTGCAAGAAAGATGAGCCTGAAGAGGAGGAGGAGGAGGAGGAGGAGGAGGAGGAGGAGCCTGATCTTCCCACTCGCTCGCACTTTGTCACCTGCAATGCCTGCAACTCTCGCATCATGGATGGACAGGGCAGCCCGGTGCCTCCACCCCCTGAGCTTAACCAGCAGGGTGCTCATAACTACTGCCCTACCTGTTCCCCCTATGGCTCCCCTTTTTACATACGGACTGCTGACATGGTGCGAAACGGTGGTGAGAGGATCACCTACACACCCACGTGCTACAAGGAAATGGGGCATCCCATCAAAATGGCGACCCTCCAAAGTTACCCGGTGACCCACCATGGAATTGTTCGGGAGACCTTTCCAAACCCTAGGGCTGTTAGTACAGAGGTATAATCACTGTTGTTACTATTGCAGGGTGCTCCAATAAGATGCCCATGGGGGGGGGGTTCCATTAATTTCTGTGAGGTTTCCTGCAAAAAGAGAGGACGCCTTTAGCAAATGTGGACAATCAAATCCAAGACCTAGCATGGTCCTGATGTTGAACTGCCCAGGTCATTGTAAGCTATTGTGGGAGGAACGGGAGAGAAACACTGAACAAAGATATTGAATGTGGTAATTTCTAAACCCATAACAAGTGTAATTACTCTGCTCTGTCTCCTGAAGGGACTTGTCTAACGAGGGCTATGTACAGTACAAACTAATTTAATTATCAAAGACTCTCGTGACTCCCAGGCTTCCCTGAGCCCTTAATGAGGTATTTGGTGTCTACACAAAGCAAACCCTACCTGTCACTTTTCAAGGCAATACCACTGGCTTCTTGTATGGATGAACCGAGCACACTGAGAGACGCATGGCATTCACTGGGAGCTATTGTTTTCATCAGTAACTGTGGCATTAGAAAGGAAGGTGAAAGAGGATAAAGATCCCATCAATATGCTGGGAGTTTTAATGCTCTTGCTTGGTGAAAGCACGTGGAAAAACAAATAAACAGAGAATTTGATATTTCCCCCCTTGTATCATATTAGTTCCAAATGAATGCTAGCATCTGTATTAGAATATAAAATAGGACACCCTTCCCTAGTTATTCCAGTCTTTGCACCTACAGAAGAACAGGGAAAAGGGAAGGTGGAGTTAGATAATTGTTGTGGGGAGAAAAAGGGTACTACTAAAATGACCTGCAAAAGCTAACAATACAGAAGTTTCCTTCTGCTCTGCTCACAAAACAATCCTTTAGTTTTCACAAACTTTCTTAGGAGTGGTTTAACTTTGGGGCATAAAAACTGCAAAGTTTTTACTTAAATTTTAAACAACTGAAGTTTGGATCACTGGCAGTGTTTAAAGCCTTAGAGATCCATATCTGCTGGTAAACTGCAAAAGACTGTGTGATTTAGTTCTGCTTAAAACAGCAAGAGATGGGACCAGTAACATCTTGTGCTCTCAACCCTGTTCTCACAACCTCCAGAGCTTGAGCTGATACCAGATTTTCAGGAGGTCATGACCTTTCCGTCTCTGGCTAGAAGGAAGGCCCAAACCTGTCTTCCTTGCTAATATGTCAAGTCACAGTATGGAAAAGCTGACAAGTGAGATAAATCATCCATGTTGCTTTCTACGACATGGATGTGGAGATTATTTTTCACTTTACACCAAAGTAAAAATGACTAAAAGTATATTGTTGTCATGCACCGCTGTTCCCACAGCAGCCAGCCATGCTTTCTGCAGGTAGGCAATAGGCCTGGACTACAAGTGATCCTTGCAAATATCCTTAGTAACAATAACAAGAGTGTGTTTATCATATGGTTTTATTTGGGAAGAGCGTGCGATCTCTATTACAGTTTATCAGTCAATCTACAGGTAGTAATAAGTGCTGGCTTGACAGCCCTTAACTTCCCTATTCATTCACAGATGAAGTATGATGTAGTCCTGCTTGGACCTGGAAGGTTCACTTGATCTCATGAGAGGATTATTCAGATTTGGGCTTATTTATTCCTTGGGATCTCTGATAAAACATAACAAGTTAACAACTCAGGGCTAAATAGGATTGTGTTTCTTGTGACATGGAGGCTGCCTTCCCTGAAACAACACGTGATCCATTTTGCATTGCCTGTAGATCAGACATTACTCCCAGAATCATCTAAATTAGAACCTAAGCCTTAGCATTGAAAGGCATCACGCTGTCCCTGGACCCTGGGTTGTCCAGTCCTCACTGAGCCCCTATGTAGGGTATTTATTTTCCAGAAGCCCTATAACCCTCCTCTCAATTACCTGGGTGGGAAGGCAAGTAATGTTGCTGGAATGATTACAGTACGAAAGCCCTCTGACCCCTAGTGTTCAGTAGCCCACTGTTTCTATTGCCTTCTTGTCCCAACCAGCACACTGCCCTGGTACTGTAGTATCTAGTATGACGTTTGTTGAGCAAACTCAACAAGTCCTATCCTTTCATAGCAGAGGATGCACTTTGGCTTCCATCTGAACTTAGCCTCTACCAGACCTGAAGTGGTCAAACTGCATCCCCTGGGCTTGCTATAGCCAACAGGGCTCTACAGTATAGCCCCCAAATACCTTCCTCCTAATTTGAATGGCCAGCCCAGGGGGATTAAGGATATGTCTATACCACAGCAGCAGTGCATCCCAGTGAGGATGAAGCAGGGAATACCCTACCTTCCTGAATCTGCAGGTATGCTCCAGACACAGAAGCCTGCTCTGGAATCATCCCCATTGCCTATTCTTGAGCTGTCTGTCCCTGACAAGCCTGAGAGCAGACAATGGAAACAAGAACAGCCATTCTAGTAAACTTCTGGTTGTGGAGTTTATTGGTGGTCTCAGGTGAGTGGGGTGCTCAACCTCTTCCTCCCCGGTGTATTGGCCATCATTGCAATGCTCTCTCTTCTGAAAGACTATTCAGCTCACGACTGCCCAGTATACGCTGGACTATAGTTTCAATGACACACCTTTGAATGAAGGATAGCTGTAGTCTGTTTTGTTGTACATACATTACGTGTGAACCCAGCTTTTCTAGGAAGAGGATGTGACCCTGAAGCTGATGCTGTGGTCCCAGATTGGTTATTTTGCTCAAGATGAAGATCCCCGTCACATTTTTCACTGTACTGAAACATGTACACAAGTGCAAATGTGCAAGATATACAAGTCAAATGGGTGTCCAAAATGTGACTTCAGGCTGTTAGGGGTTGGGGTGGGGAGTAGAGAGAGAAAGTCTGAGTTTTCTACTTGGGATTTCTCCTATTGTTCTACATCTTTGTTGCTCAGCTGTGGATCCAGATTGAATGTCAGTAATAAATGAGGTCTTTGAAATACAAAATGGGCATGCTCGTGCTCTCTTTTTTGGTGATGGGCAGCTTTATACAAAGCAAGTTTTACACAATCCTGCATAGGATGTGGCCTTGGATATGTGTTCCTCACTCCTATCCATGCCATCCCCTTGCTCCCTGACTCAAAAACAGGTGCCCAGGAAACATACATATTTGTTTAGCTCTTTATTGTGACATAGAATGATTCTGCTTGAAGATACCTGGTGGATAGAGGAATGCTGAGTGCAGATGGTGTTGCTGCCATCTGTGCTACTGCTGCTGGTTGGGACACCCGTGCCCACCTGTGTTCTGCTAGAACTTTTTGCTTGTATCCCTGAGGTGCTGGACATGGACTCAGCTGGGAGAAATGATATGAAATCACTGGAGTGGTGGGGAAAAGGAAGCGCTCCTCATTGATGACTGATAGCAGAGATAAACTTCCCCCATTACTATGATTCTGGTTGCTTTGTGGGACAGGATGATCTCTCTTTAAAGGGTCGGGTAAGTTGTATTAGTCAAGAAGGGACTGTGGTTGCTACATGTGTCCTAGAAATCCTTCCGAGTAGGCTGTTCTACAAGGATCGGCTCAGTGACTAAGCCAATGGCTTCTTTCACAGAGAAAAGGCTTTTTGTGGAGTCTTTGTCTAGGGGGAATCTTGCCCCTTGGTCTCAAAAGGGAAGCGTGGTCAGGCAGCAGTCAGGGCAAGCGGCTCCTGCATGACCGGCAGCAAGCCTTCCTGTAGTACCAGTGTGAGCACAGCTTCACCTTCAGCACCAGCATGCAGTTGGCTGTTGCTTTGTCTTCACAGTCTTCTTCTGGGGAGTGAAAACATCCATGGAAGAGGTTAAAGCAACAGCATTCTCCATTAGGACTAAGCTGGCCCCAGCTTCAAGGCTGCCACCCTCTGAGGCTATCCCCATCTTACCTGGTGCCTCTGTGGGGCATGGCTGGAGCTGGCAAGCTTGTCTGGCTTCAGGTTTGGATCCCAGTTCACAGCCCTGGCCCAGGGCTTCTCCCTGATAACACTTTACCTCACGGAGCCGCATGCCAGCACCACAGGTCTTACTGCACTGTCAGGACCAAGAAGGGATACAGCTGTGAGCACACTAGATTTCTATCAGCTCAATATGTTCTTCTGGGCCCTGAGCTAGACATTCATAGAGGGAGCTCCCACAAGACTCAGTCTTTAGTCCCCAGACAGCCTCACATCCCATCAATAATGCAGGATTTTAATGGAGCTCAAGTAAAGACTAGTGTTCTCCCTCTGCCTTTCCCTGCCCCTACTGCTGTATTCCTAAGGGATTAGGACATAAGTAGAAATCCTTTCTTTTCCAGTGTAATGGCTAGCAGCTCAGGAATGTCACCAAGGGCAGCCAGAGATCTGCAGAAGCTGAATGAATGGGTTAGCATTGTTACTAACTTACCTGTGTGTAAGGTAACTAACTTACCACTACTACTAACTTACTACTCTGTAGAGTGCCTGCAGAGATTGCCCACCCCCTAGGGTAGGCAGACTAAGAGGACTTCAGAAAACTAAGGACCCAAGCAGCTAAGAAACAGGTCAGGACTTAGAGTCAGTGACAAAGAAGTGTGCAGGGAAACTGGAGAGACTGACAATAGGGCATGGAAGCTTTCACTTTGGCTGGGACTCCAGTCTTAGTCAGGCAGTGACAAACTAGTAACCGCTGATGACTCTTTGGTGACTTAGTATCTTCGGAAACTTTCACCTGGGAGGGAGCACCCTTCCAATGCTTATATCGAGTGTTCTCAGAAACGGAGCTCTCTTCCCTTGCCTGGGGAAGGGTCCCTCCGACTCCAGGCCAGGGTGGTGTTGTATAGGACCTTATCCTGTTGCCGTCCACTCAATGGACAGAGTACTTCAGTCCCCAGGGCTGGTCCCTGTTTCTAACCCAAAGCTCACACACAAGCTTATGTTGTCTCCTGCATGGCTCCTTATGCTGTCCACTGAGATGGTCACCAAATTTTGGGGCTATCCTCACCTCAACAGGCTTATGCTACCTTCTCCATCAAACTTAATTGTGCCACAAGCACCAATAGGAAGGTAAAAATCCTCCCTGCCCCCTCTCCCCAGGTTCCCTCAATACCTCATACTTCTAAGTCTTTTCTGCTACAGCACTCTCCACCATCTCTTTCCCTCTCCCCAGCTCCCTCCCACTCCTCTCCTCAGGCCTTGTATTTGCTTTCTCCATTCTCCTTACGGAGCCTTCAGTACCTATCACCATGGGTACTGAATGGTATCGATCACCATGGGTAGTCCCCCATGGCCAACCTCACTAAGCTGGGAGGGGTGTTCCCTGCAGCCAATCTCATTGACGGGGGGGAGGGGAGGGAAGAGGGTGGTCCCCCTGTGGCTGATCACTGCAACCACTTCCGGAAGTAGCTGTAGCCGCTTCTGGGAGCACTGCTCCCTGGCTGGTGCTCACGGGGGGGCACCTGCCCCCCCAACTTGTCGCTTAAGCAGCAAGCGTGGCCAGTCAGAGGGTGTACTGGTGCTCTCAGGTGGGTGCATGTGCACCCCCTACACATCGCCCCTACCTATCACCTTTCCCTCAAACCTTACCTGAGACCAAGATGTGGTGAACCATGTAGAGCAAGGTCTCTTGAAACAGGCTGCCTGTACCTCAGGTTTCTGGGAGGTATCACAGCGCATTTCAGGATATTCCCTATACACACCATTCTCCAGGCCGGCGCAGAGTACACTCCGAGTCTTCATCCCACGGCCACAGCTGGCATCACACTGGAAGAGAGAAGCAGCCAAGGATGAACTGGTCGGTAATGAACAACATAATCTGGGCATAGGATTTGTGCTTCTTCTGCACCAACAGCAAAACCAATGCATAGATGCCCAGCTTGCAGGGCATAGTAAGGCACCATGGGTAAGGGCCTGCAAAGGACTTTAAGTTTCTTGGATATGGGGCACAGGCATGCACATTGTTATTACTCTTTAGCAAATATTGGGCCTCTGCATTCTGAGCAGCTTGGTGTGAGCATGACTGCTGCAAGAGACCCCTAAGTCCCACATCACAGTGATAACAAAGGTGAGGAATTGGGAGCTCTGTGGTTGTTTTACACACCCATTAGCATGGCTTCTTTCAGTGTATTTATGTGTCAGACAGGTACGTAGAGTGACAGACAGGTACGTACAGTGTGTTGATGCATTAACCTCAGTCAGTACCTGGGGAGAACAATACATTTCACACTTCCCAAAAGAAAGTGAAGCAACACAGCACGGGATTGGTTGTTACAAGCTCAAGGCAGACCTCTGCACAGAGACCAAATGACATCTAACTGTATGATCAGTGTCTCAGCTTCAGAGAGAGTTTCTATAAATTCAGTCATACAGTTAATTCTGCTCTGTTCCTTTAGTGCACTCAGAGCCACAGCCAGTGAACTGAGTGATAGCTGAGCTTTCATTGCTTTTCACTCCTGTTTACTATGCTGGGCTAGCATGGCCGCAAGGAAGGGCTCTCATTCCTAGTCTATGTGGATCAGTTCACTGGGTTCTGACCCATGGCAGGCCTAGAGCAAGGAAAGCAACATGAGAAGGAAGGAGCCCAACTGGCCTCTCAGCACTCAGATGGAACTGACAGTGAGCTGCAGTGCTCTGTGTAAACCATTCAGCATGCAAGGCTTAAAGGGATTAATGAAGCAGGGAATTAGTATCTCAGGTGTCATCTATTACCAGGGAGAAGAGGCAGGTTTGATCAGGGGCTGTTCAACCAAAGAGAGAACATTTAGTCAAGAGTGGGAGGAACCCAGGTAACCAAACCTTGAAATAGGGAGTTAATGAACTCTCCCCCAACCTCAATGGCCCCTCTGACTGCTTTGTGTCCATGCTCTGCCTTAACACTACTTGAGTCCTGGATGCTTCTGCCAAACATCATGATCCCTCCTGATTTAGCTCTAAATCCACATTAGCACCATGCATCACACAGCAGCTCCAAGCCCCCAGTGCCCTGCCTGGCGCTTCCTGGATGCGCTACAATTCTGAATGCCTCATAACGCATGGAGCTAATGCATGACTGATGACAAAGCTGGCAGGCAGTGCAGAGCAGCACCTGGTCTAAGGCTGCCCATGGGACCAGCAGGCTTAGTCTGCAGCACAAACTGCCATTTTGAAAAACTGGCAGGAAGCACAAACCTTGTCCCTGGAACTGCTACGCCGTTTTGGAACTGGCAGTGCCTGTAGCACAGACAGCACTTGAAACTGGTTGGCAGAGGGTAGCTGGTAGCCACAATGTGCTGGAAAGGATGGCATGGCTAGAAACTACCTGTAATGGAAGCTACCCTTTCTCTAGTCCTAGACCTATACAGTTCCATGCAGACATAACCATGTTCCCACCACCTCTCCTGTGTTGCAGCCTCATCCCCTGTGAAAAATATCCCATGCCCCAGATCTCAAAATCTGGTTACACTAGATATCAAGCTATTGAGGCAGAAGGAAGCCAGGAACATGCCTTGTGAGCTTCTGGCCATGGGAGATGGTCACAATGGAGTGTTCTTCCATTAGCTCTTATTGAAAATGAGTCACCCGGGAGAAATTCAATATGACCTTGATAGCCTGGATGTGAAATTTCTCTGTCTGGGCCCAAGGTTCTGGCTCAGGCCCATCCCTAGTGTTCCCCACTGTAACCGTGCTGTAGATTCTATAAGTGAACTGTGGAGTTTTGGGTTTAACAGCCCAACCAAAAAAAAAAAGATACAATTCAGTTCAGGCAAAAATGAAAAAACTGGGGTATTTTCAGCTAAACAAATAAAACAACACCCCCCTCCTCAACCCAAAATGTTTTATCATCCAAAAATGTTTTGTTAGACACAAAACAAAATGTTCTGTTTAAGTTTTTAGGTACTTACTGCTTTAAGAAAAAACAATTCTCTTTCTTTTAATGTGGGTCATTTTTAAAAAAAATGAGAAATGCCACTTCAAAGTGAAAAGCTGAAACACTGCATTTTTTTAAAAGGCTGAAACCTTGTTTTGTTTCAAAAATCCTTCCAAAGTTTTGATGGTACTGAAGTGATGCTGAAGTCATGATAATCCAGGATATATGCGAAAGGCAAGGATTTTTGTGGGTAACATCTGATGTTTTCAGACTCCCCCTTCTCCCCCCACAATTTCATCCCTGCCAAAACTACTCATTGAACTGACTCTGATTTTGTTTTGCTCCCTGCAAAGTTCCATTATTTTTGGTGAGTATACTATTAACTGAAAAAGTCTTGCCTAATTTTGATTTGAATGTGGGGTTCTTGCTTGGAGAGACACTGTGGTTAGCAAGAATCAGGGCAGCAGAGAGCACTTCCTTAGGACAATGCTGCCCTCTGATGGCAGCTGAGAGTGCATTCAAACCAGCTCAGAGTCACACAGCTGTGGGACCATGGGCTTTGTGACTCCTGTCTGTTTTGTGACCTTCCTGCACATCCTGTTGACGGAAAGAGGCCACAGAGCTATACCCATACAAGGTAACATGACCACCACATCAGCACAGGAGCTGCAACAGGGCCATGCAACACCATTCTGATCACCCAATGCACTTATGCTCCAATGGGATGTATTGGCCCACCCCTCAAGTCACTCTTTCTGACCAATGGTAGTCCATGAAGAGGGGATCCAGAGATCTGTCTTGACTTCATGCTGAAGGAAGCAAAAGGAAAAGAACAGTAAGCAGGTGGGTTGCTGTGGTGTAGAAAGGATTCAGGAGAAATGGTTCGTGCGTGCAAGGAGGTGAGAAATTTTCTCTTGACACCAGCCATGGGACAGGCTATGGGGAGGATCTTCCTGTCCCACAGTAGATAGGAAGATCCACCACTGCTGAGGTGTGAGAACTGCTGCATTATGTCCTCAGCTTCTGCAGGCTGCATCCTGCCCTCTACAGCATGAATCCCCCACCCCCTGCCTGATCAGGTACAATGCTGCCTCTGTTACCCAGGCTACAGAAAGCAACATTTCCTTGGATTCTTCTCATCTCCAGTGCTTGTACTTTGATCCCTCCCATCGACTACAAGGGCTCTCCATTTCTTGAGGATCACATATGTCTTGTTGCCTTCCCAAAGTCCCTTGATAATAATACACAAGACCTCTGGGCTTATGGGAGTCATACTGGAAAGTTGTCAGACACAGGAAGCTAGGCTAAAGGAGAAGACTGGGCCCTTTCCCTCTGTCTGAGGAAGGGCGAGACAGAGGACAGGTGGAAAGAGACAACTCCAGACTTACCTGGTCCCATTCTTGCTCCACCCAGTGGGCAGGGCAATTCTTGTCTCCACAGGGGTGGACAGTCAGAGGTTTGGCTACAGAGTCACACTGTGAGTCTGAGATCACTTTCCCCTCCAGGTTGCGGCACACAACGAAACGGCTCATTCGCCCCTCACCGCACAGTCCTGAGCACTTGAAGAAATAAAGTGTATGTAAACTACAGGTTTGTAAACATACAGGTCACTAAACAGCACCAGAGCAGGTGGAGGTAGTCTGGGCTAGTGGCTGAAGCATGGGCATGGGCATCAAGAGGGTGAGTTCTGTTCCTGCCTTGGACACTGACACACTTTGGTCAAATCATGTCAGCTGCCAATGCAGCAGCTGCTAGCATCAAAGTTGCACAACAGTTTCCATTCTCATTTTTTCCAGTCATTTAAAACCTCCCAAAACTTCTGACTTTGGGGCTGACATTCTCCAGGTTTAGACTCAGCACATGTTTTTTAAAAAGTCTGAGCCAAAACAATTCAGCCATTTTTTCTGGGTACAAACTGGAGGTTAGAAATGTCCCCTGTAATGCATCGATGGGGAATCTAGTCTCTCATCTCTTCAGCCTTGAGCTGCCTCAGCTTCCAAACCCTGCACAGAGAAGGGAGAGCACCCTGCTTGGACTCACCGGTCCCCAGTCTGAGGTGGTCCAGTGTCGGTCACAGGGTGGGCCCATGCACTCCTTCTCACTGGTAGGTTTCTTGGATTCATCACAGAGGGGTGCCTCCACCGAGCATCGGACCTCCCTCTTCATCATCCCCTGACTGCCACACCGAGCAGAACACTACAAAAGGGGAGGCAGCCCAAGTCAGTATGGTGACAGCAAGTAGGAAAAGCAAGGAGACGGGTTTTTTTTATTTCTTTTTCCTTTTTTCTCCTCAGAATGAAGCTAGTATTGGTGGCGATGGGGAAGGTGGCCTTATGACTAATGTACCAGAAGGGGACGATAAATGCTGCTGCTTATGTTCTCTGTGGCCTGGGGTAAGTCCTTCAAAACATGGCTTTACCAGTTTTGGGTTTCCGTCATGTGTCACTCAGGCCCCAGTTCTCAAATGGGCTCACACACAGCCCCGTCTAACTTAATGGGACCTGAGGCTGTTTGACCCTTCAAAAAGCAGGTCCAAGGTGTGTCTGTAATCACCTAAAATCAATGGTCTCTTTCGTGTCTCTTTATCTGTAAAGTGGGGGCTAAACTTGTCTCTGTCATATGGGTATTGCATGCACTGAGAGTCTAGCCAGGAAGAGAGTATACAAATACCAGTTGCTATAAATGATGGCAGTGGATGTTAGTCCTCTGGGCTGTGTCAGAACAAGTAAAGGATAGACAAATGCTGGACAAACTTCCTCAGGCAACCCCTCAAAGATGTCTCAGCCAGGTTGGTGATCTCTGAGCATCATAGCAAGGAAAGTGTCAGTTGGCTGCAAGCAGATTTCCTTTGGTCCTGGACCAGTGTCTGGTTTAACCCTGACACCTGGGGGTAGGCCCTCACTCTCCATACCTCAGACCACTCAGAGAGCTCCCATTGGGGCCCACAGGCCTTGTTCTTGCATGCTTTCTTTTCCATTGGCCTGGTCAGGCCCGCTGACTCGCACAGCTCATCGTACACAGAGCTGTCAAAGCCTGGAGCCAGCATCTTCCAGCAGCGCACAGTCCGATACTGATAGCCTTCCCCGCAGGTCCTGGAGCACTCACTCCACCGGCTGGTCTCCCACCTTCATGGGTGATTGCAAGGAGGAAAGAAACAAAGCAAAACACAGTTCAGAATGTGGCATGCTGAGCGGCAGATGGGGCAAGGACTGGACTAGCTGGTACAAGCCACTGATGGACTTCTCACTACTAGCCCTGCCTGCCGCCATGTGTACATGGGAACTGCAGTCATGCTGCCAACAACAAGGAGATGTTATTGGACCATTATTGTTGTTTATTGAAATAACCGTTCCTCCTCAGTATCTCAGATGCCACACAGAATGTGGCTGTGCTTAAAAGCAAAGCTGCATTGGGACTCTCCCCAGGGCAAGGGTATTAATGCTTGTATCCTAGCCAAGCCCCTACTGCCATTCTGCAGTGACCTAAAATTTGCTAAGTGACTCTGGACACACCATTTTCTTTCACTTTCTGCCCCACCTGCTGTAGAGAAACGCTGAGTCTGGTTTGAAGGCTGTGACCTTCCTCCACAGAGGTGCATGCATACGGGGGTGCTGATTCTCCCAATGTCTTGCATTGTAAGCAGAAGGGCGGGTGTCAGGTAAGGAGCATCAGGAGTCCTGGCTATGCATACACCCCCAATCACCTGAGTGCTTGGCAGGAGGAACCACAGGTCAATAATGAAAAGGGGGTTGAGTAACTTATTCCCCCCTCATCAGAATAACAGAAGCACTGTGGTGAGTCATGGCTCCTCCTCTTCTGATGCTCCCATGGTGGCGCCTAGCATAAGGCAGGTGCTAAATGAAGTCTCTTGCCCATGGTCTGTAAGTTCTGTTTAGTGCTTCTGGCACTCTCAGTGGAAGGTGATGCAGAAATGTCACTGGATATTTTTTCACTGCCTTTAAATGAATAGTGCTGTTTTTTTCCAGTTTGTTGTAAAGCCATGAAACCCACCCCAGCAAATGGCAAACCAGTGTTCTCAGCATCTCTTTATTCAAAGGAGGTAGTTTTTCTACAGGAGAACCTTCTTGGGTATATCAGTCACCTCCCATGCTATAATAGCAATATCATCTTCAAAAGGCAATAGACAAGTTCAGTTTTTCATTCCATCTCTTTCTAATACCCTGCACTGTGTATGCAAAATAATCCACAGTGTAAGATGTATTAAGTGGGATGAGTGACACAACACAGAAATCCACCTGCCCTGCTTCCCCTCAGCTCCTTTTCCCCACATGCTTCCTCTCTCTTTCATTGCCAAAATATTACTTTCTCACACTCTTACTCATTGATTTCTTGTGCACTATTCTGCCAATGAACTCTTGCACCAGTCACCATCTTCCTTGGCTTTCTGGATGTGTTTCTCAGAGCTGGGCTGAGGCTTGAGTGTTTCAGTTTACCTGGGCTGGCAGTCTCTCCCTGTACAGAACTCATGAGTAGGTTCTGGGCGGGTCAACGCATCACAGTTTGTGTCATCTACTTCCACTCCATCGTAGCGTACACACATGGCATAAGAGGTGCTGATGCCTGCTGGACACCGAGAAGCTCTCTTAACAAAGGTCCACAAGCATATGCTATCCACTGCTGTCTCCACTGGTTACACCAGTTATTTATGAAATGATAAAATCAAAGAAAATTAGGGTTGGAAGGGATCTCAGGAGGTCATCTAGTCCAACCCCCTGCTCAAAGCAGGACCATCCCCAGCTAGGTCATCCCAGCCAAGGCTTTGTCTAGCCAGGTCTTAAAAACCTCCAAAGATGGAGATTCTACAGCCTTTCTGAGTAACCTGTTCCAGTGCTTTACTACCGTCCTACTGAGAAATTTTTTCTTAATATCTAACCTAAGTTTCCCTTGCTGCAACTTTAGACCATTGCTCCTTGTCCTGTCATTTGCCACCACTGAGAACAGTCTAGCTCCATCCTCTTGAGAACCAACCATCAGGTAGTTGAAGGCTGCTTTTAAATCCCCCCTCAGTCTTCTCTTCTTCAGACTAAATAAGCCCAGTTCCCTCAGCCTCTCCTCGTAAGTCATGTGCCCCAGCCCCCTAATCATTTCCGTTAGGTTAGAAATGGGAATCAGAAATGTGGACTACTATATCAGAGACTCTAGGGTCCATTAGAAAAGTACAAATATCCACTGATCAGTATCTGTAAAAGAGCTCTGAAACTTAGTCCACCTGGGAAAACTGGTAGGCCACCAGCTGAGAGCAAAGCTGATGACTTCAGAGCACAATATACAGGAGTCAATGATGTAAATTCAGCAGAGGCTACTGAGGGGTTTGCTGCTACTTCACCTCTCCCCAGGTCAGCGACTCCTAGATTGATTTCAGCAGGGGAGAAAACAAGCTGAACCTTGTCTGATGCTCCCATCCTCTGAAGCACTTAAGCTTATGCTGACCCCAATCTACACAAGATTCAGCTATAAAAAGAAGTCCTCCTCAGATGACAGCTCTTAAGCATATTGGCCCTGTTCTTCTCTCCCAAAACACCCTTCTTGTCACCTCAGGTGCATAAAACCAAAGGGCAAAAAATCTCAGAGCCCAGCTTGGAGCCTTGTGTATTCAAACCTATGGAGTCTCACCACTTCCAGTTGTGACCCTATTGTCAGTTGGACTCAGGTTCTTCTCATTGACTCAGCACAATTTTTAAAAGCACAAAAGCTTGCACCCAATTCCAGGAGCATCCCTGCTACCCATTAGGAGCATGTGCCTCCCTCTCTCCTATGTGCACCATACGATGGAGGTAGGTACAGCAGGAGCTGTGCCTGTGGGTAAGAGTTAAGCCTTGTACATGGTATATCCAGATCCAAACCTATCTTGAGTTTATTCTTTATTTGCATTTTTCACAGAATTTAATGCGGCCAAGAAGTGTCTAGATGATGGACTCTGCAAACCATCTTTCAGATAGCAGCAGAGCCAGCTTTCTTTACCACACTCCCCTATCCAAAGGCTTTGAACCAGACCTAAATGAGTGAATGGGATGGTTCATTCTCCAATACCAGCAATAGTCAACAAGGTTGTGGGTCAATGCCTAAGAGTCTGGTAGCTTTTGTGGTGTGACTCCTTTCAGCCTGAGAACAGGGTGAATCAGGCTTTTAAGGATATCAGTTGCCAACTATGAGAAAGGCACTGAAATACTTTTAAAAATCCATCCCCAAATGAGTTAGCAGAGGTTATTAAATAGCCTTCAAATAAAAACAGCTTCTGGCTGCTGCAGGCATACCTGGGAAGCTTTTAGTGAAAGGCCATGACACCCTGAGACCAAACCTACCAGACGTGCATGTGGAGCTGCAGGGGGCATAGGCAGAGACCTTCCACCGGTACATGTCAGCTAGGCTGATGTCATCTTGGCCCACGGGATTCACCTCAAAGTCATTGCTGCAGAGAAAGGAGCAGGAGTGAGCTTTCTTTGGGACAAAAGGAAGGAAAGGCCATCTGCCGAAAGCTGAAAGGGAGGGAGCTTAGTTTCCTCCCACCATCCCAGGGTGCTTGAAGGAACAGGAATGTGTGGCTGTTTGGCTCGTTGCTCTATCTCCCATGCCCCAGAAGGAGATGCAGTGTTTCTTTGGTTGGCAGTGTATTTTGAAGGGGGCTCCAGTCAGACTCATGGGTTCTGAATGGCCAACCACATAGCTCTTACATTTACATAAATCCATTCTCTTAATAGGTGTTAAATAATTAATGTAAAGGAACTGCTGCTTATCTACTTCCACATTTTATATGTGTGTGTTTGCATATGCAAGCATTTGGACATCAAGAGGAGGCTGAACAGATATTTGGCTGGGGCGATACGATCCCGGCACCCATTCCTGCCTGAGGCAGGGGGTTGGACCTGATGATCTGTTTAGGTCCCTTCTGACCCCAACAACTATGATACTATGATCTGTGCCTACAGACATGGAGTCAGGATGTAGTGTCTTGAGTTCCTCCTCTGCATGTATGAGTAGGGCCTCTGTGGTGGAGGAAAGATCATCAAAAGACCATTTAAAAGGATCTCTTAGGAGGTGACCAAATCCTTTTGGAATGGTGGATGGACTGTAGGACATAATTTGATAGCTTAGGCTAGCTGCTGGCTTTGGCCTATTTTCCCTACTGGTTAACACCATTGGCGACGCATCCACTAGGATCATGCCATAATCATCAAGGTGCTAGAGAGGGGAAACACAGGCAGAAAACACTGAGGCTGTCAGAACATTAGGCTGATCATCCCTCCTCAGATAAAGTTTGCCCTAGCTTGTGAAAAGTGCCTCACCTTTCAGGAGCTTGGAGAGGCTCAGCCTGGTGCATGTTCCCAATGGTTGAGTTGGAACCCAAGAGGGTGTTCTGCAGGGGTCCTGTTCTGCTGTAGTTAGCTACCTCCTCCTGACTCCCTACATAAGTCTCTAACTTCACACTCTCCAGTGAGTTCTTCTGGGCAGGTCCCTTGTGCCGCCTCTCTTGCCACCCATCCTCCAGCTCACTCCAAAGCCCTGCTGTCACGTTCTTCTGCCCCAGCTTGGCAGTTAGGTGCTGCAGTTCCCTGCAAAAGGCAGCGTTTTGTGGGTCCCGGTGACATAACCTCCTGAAGAGATGGAGCCTGGATGCCCTGATCCCACTGCTCTCTGGGAGCTCTGGCCGCACCACACTGAAGGGTATGGTTGTACTGATGGAAATCTGATTTAATCTGAGGGCTAAAGTAAAATGCCAT